TAAATGCAACGGGTGATATGCACTTCTTCAAGGATTGAATAAAATATAGAAAAATTCAATATTAACTTTTCTGACTACCTCATACTGAGGGTTTCATTAATCATGCTGTGCTCACACTTTTCAGGACAACATGTCTCCAGTGTAAAGACTGCAAAACTGTGTGGTTGAGGCTTGTTCAAATGACTGTTCGCTTCTTTCAGCTCTCGGGGGACCCAAGTGATTGCCGAGCTTAAAATAAGATCAATGGTCATGATGCAAAAACAATATACTGGACATGGTTTGGAATGTGCAAGCATTTGTTTTCTCATCTGCGGTGAATAAAACTACATAAACCATAAAGGTCAGAACAAAACGGGTGAAAACTGTGGGAGCCCCCTCAAAAAAAAAACACATTTTAAAATAATATGGGTAGTTTTTACCCAAGAGATAATTACTGCCCGAGTCCAAGACCATCATTAATCAATAAATAAATCAATAAATAAGAATCAGAGTTAATCTTTTTTAATTGTAAACTTTCTACACATTTTCTAAAATATTCTAAATCTGAACTGTGTTATTAGTATTTTAACCATGTTGGGTTGTTTACTTTATTTCTCCTCCACTTTGCTGGATAATCAGAATCATATTAGAATTTTTTTTGATGGTTTCTTTTTAAATACTGACTTAAGCATAAAAAAAATTGCTGTGTCACTGACTGGATTTTGTAACTAGCTGTAAAGTCACCTCTGCTCGCTTCTATTCCCCTYAGTCACTCTCCACCTAATTTAGCAGCAGTCACGTCTTTCTCTGCAAGGCGCACAAGCTGTACCCTTGATGAGGTATTACTGGAAACACTCCTCTATGGCCGACTGCTCTTTGTCTTACWTTTACAGCTCTGGAGTCAACAGAAAACGATTTTTTAAAATCAGGCATTTATCATAACTATTGCATGTCTGTTAGTTTGCTTCTTCTCCCCGTAGCACAAATTAACAAAGCAGCAAGCGTGTTTTTTGACTGTTGAATTATTTATTAGCTAGTTCAGCAAAAATATGTGAAACCCCCCCCTCTGCTCCAAGCACTTTTAAGAATAGTACTTTTGTGTTTTACAAGCCCCGGCTCCCTTAGATTAATCTCCAGGTCGGTGTGGAGTAATCTAAAGTTTTCATACTTGAACAAAGGAGGCAACTTGTTATTGATTAGGGCTGCTGTTAAATGTWTATTCCTGAAAACCAACAAATAAAGAAAGATGCCACCTCATGATTGATTTTTGTTGTCCTACAAGTATAGCGAAATATCTTCAYATCTATTAAAACAGGTTTTCAACTATACTATACTGAAATGTATACTCACTTTCCACACCTGATGTTTATGTGTGAAATCATTTCACATTTATTGACAAGAAATTGCTTCTTTTTTCTTATAAATCAACTATAAATCTTTTTTATCAGATTTTTATTTACTGCTTTTGATCTAATTTTAAAAAGCTGATATTATTGCCACTGAYGGCTGCAACAACCATAATATTTAAACTTTTTTATTTGTATGTTACATTTTATCCGTGTTGTACGAGTCAAACTGAATATTACTGGATGAGGGAGGTGATTCTGATGTCAAGCCAAAGAAATATTTTCTTCATCTGCAGCTGTTGTTTCAGTTTTGTATTAGAAACCCTCTTGGTATATTAGTTATTGAAGGAACTGATACCCTCCTGTATACAGTTACTTACACGTGGTGAGTCTTCAGTCAGGCCAGTWTTCTTGACTCACATGTGTGAGCACGTTGGCTATTAAGAAGTAACTGTATAAAAACTAAAATAAAATGCGGCAACTTCTATATAAAGAAATGGTTTTCAAGCAAAGGTTAAAATTTTGTTTTACAAAAAGCAAATTGACAAACTTTCCTAACGCAGCTAACTAAAATCTATTTATTCTGTCGTGCACTTATTGACATTTATGTTAACTATCCAAGAGATTCTGATGGATCTGTGTTCACAGTTCAGGTTTTATCTTTTATGATTAAATTTATGAATATTTATATTTTTTCCATACATACAATCAAGTTAAAAAGACCTGGGAGCACTTAGTAACATGCACAGTCATTATGAATTAATGAAATGTTTTCCTTTTTCTTACTATTTCACTTTTCTCTGCAGTGAGGAAAAAATGACACGAAAGCAGCTGGAAATTATTGTAATGTCTATCAAATTGCTGTAAATGCAAAGGTGCCAATAAAATGGCATTACATTAAAATTTAACAACCATTTGAGTCCAAAAAGTGATACATCGAATCTTAGTGGATAAAGAGATGTGAATTAGGGTCTAATATTTACTGAACTAGTGAAGCGAAAAACCACCAGAGCAAAGTTCAGAAGGTAAGTAAAGAAGCTATATTTTTGTGCAGATCCAGTCAAAAATGTAAATTTACCTTTGATTTTTTTTCTTCTGTATTTTAATTTTAGAAAGTAGTCATTACTGAAGAGCAACCTCAGCATCWCACCAGGGTAACACTATTAGCTGAGTTAATCTGAAGAGCTCAGCAGTGTCTCATTAACAAGCCAACTTCTCATTGATTTTTGTCCCKRTCTGTCAATAACCCAGTAGTTTTGTCTATTCAGGCTATTGGTTGTCTTGGTTTGCATATAGCCGTGTGCTGACTCAGCAAGTCCAGAACCTGTCTCATTAATTTGCCATTCAGAAAGATCCAAACAGCCCATCAGGAATAAAAATAACCCCCCAAAAAAACCACTTCTTTTGTTTAATAATTTAATCTACATTACAATATAAAAACTGCCTCCATATTAGTGATTTATATTTTAAATGCATAAAATACGGTACTGTGCAAAAGTCTGGAGCCATCCTTCTTTTTGCTTCATTTGATTCTTGTAATCTTTTAAAATGGCCTTAATCAGTTGTAACAATTTTTTTTAACTTTGGCTGCTTTTTCATCTTTTTTAGTCCAATACCTGAAGTTTATTTTTATTTTTGTTATTTATTAAACTACTTAACTCAGACCTTTGAGTCGTTCAGCCATAAAAAGGCCCCTGTTTTGAGGCGATGCATGACAAACAAATTAACAAAGGAACCATTAAGATATTTTAGACCCATTTTTAGCTGAACCTATATAAAAAAATTAATAGAATTTATCACCAAGATGATTTATGTTTTGCATTCTTCAGCTAATATAATTAGGTGAACAGGAGAGATAATGTGCTGCATCATACTGGCTGGTTTCCAACTATCCCTTTCAGCTTTTTTGTTTTCTGACACCTTTTTTCCTCACTACTTTAACTGAATCTATGAAATACATTAAAGACAAAAAAGTATTTTATCACCAACAAACTAAAAGCTTACCACGCATGRTGATGATGCATCTCTCAGGTTCTGCACAGGTTTTTAATGTTTTTTTATTCCCTGTTTCTTAAAGACATCAGAAATCTGCTCTGTATTTTTTACTCAACATGTCTTGTTTTGTTCTGCAGTTGTTTGCTTTATTCATTTTTTCATGAAAATATATTCTTGATCTCATTGTGTGGAAATACAAAGAGAATTTAACAAATATCTTCACATTTTAAATCTTCAGTTTTACAAGTTTTTGTCTATAATTACGAATCTGTTTGACAAYAGACAGCTTACTTTCATTTCACTTTGTTTACATTCTGTTGATCGTATTATTTCTGGGCTTGGACACTTCTTAATTTTGATTTATGCTGGCYATATTTTCATGCAGGGGTGTGTTAGTTACAATAATGATGCGCAATCTGACCTGGCAGAATATCTGACTGGGTAAACTTCCTGGACAAACAGCTAAGGAAGTGTCAGACAGGACTGCCATTTGCCCTGCTCARACTGTTTTTACACCTTCCCTCTAAATAAGGCCGCAGGCTGCCAGGACATATGACCGCCGTCCCCGATTTGGGTCCTGGACACAGTATCCATCCATCCATCCTGTGATTGCTCAACTCCAATGAAAGCCAAACACGTTCTCTCTCTCTCTCTCTCTCTCTCTCTCTCTCTCTCTCTCTCTCTCTCTCTCTCTCTCTCT